AGCGGCCTGCGAGGACCCGGCTCCGGGACAGCCCCGGGGAGGATGCCGCCTCCACCTGCCCCCAGGGCGGCCGGCGAAGCTTCGTTCCCTCTGACTCGGCCCACGCTGGACTCGGAACGCGTCTCACCCCCGTGTTCTCCTTCTTAGCAAAGAAAAGAAGAAAGTGAACTGCAAGCCCAAGAACCAGGATGAGCAGGAGATCCCTTTTCGGCTCCGGGAGATTATGAGGAGCCGCCAGGAAATGAAAAACCCCGTCAGTAACAAGAGGAGGAGGAAAGAGGGTAACGCGCGGGCGCCCCCGGGTGGCAGTGAAGCTTAATTCCCCAAATATCTAACGGTGGTCTGAGGGTGCGCGGGCAGGCGGGGAACTGACCCATGGCCGTGCCCCCAGGGCCACAGCGGTCGCTGGGGGCAGTGTGGCTTCAGGTGAGGTTCCAGAGGAGCCCTGGGCCTGGTGTAAGCAGCACTGATTCCCCCAGGAACAGTGGGGATCCATCAGAGGGGTGGTGGGGTCAGATATACTCCGAGGGAAGGTCCCTGTGTAACAAGCGAGGGGGAGTGGACAGGGCAAGCCAGCGAGGCGCTTCCAAGCGGGAGATGATGGAGAGAAGTGGGTGCTTTCTGGGGGTGAAGGAGGGAATTGATGACGCCCACTCTGACAAACCGACCTTCCCCCAAGGACAGGCAGGTGCCCATCCATCAGCTTCTGCCAGAGATGACAGGACATGTTGGGGCATGGAGTCTGGCGTGTTTTTCCTTTGGTTTAGATGTAAAATCAGTCCTGCGTTTCTTCTCCCAAACGCAGGACTGATTTTACAGCACTGCAGTCTGATAATTTCATCTAAACCTCAGGCTTTTCATTGGGGGTAATGTTAATGTGGGTGCCCAAGGGACAGTGAAATAGTCAAGGAAGGCAGAGGCAGAGGAGGTGCACTGGCGGGGGGAAGGTGACACATTTCAACCATGCTTATTGAACGAGCCTTTTTTTGGTTATTTAAAAGATATAAACTCAATATACATCGTAAAAATCAAGCAGTTCTGAAAGGTATGAAGTGAGCTGTAGCCTCCCTCCTCTGCAAGAAACCACTATTCATCTCCTATACCTTCCCAGGGAAAACCTGTGCATGTTTCCAAGTCCCTATGATGTAAAAGCTGTACCTTTCTGCACATTTAGTGTCCTGGGTTTTCACTGACAGTGGACCTTAGATCTGTCCACACCCACCTGGAGCTCCACTGTGCTCCCCTATACCCAGGCAGTGAAGTCTCTGTGAGCCCAGGGAACTCACTCAGCAGTCACCTACTGATAGCCGTTTAGGCTGTTTCCCGTTTCCTCTTTCAACCGAGCTGCAGGGACGTCTTTGACATGTACCAGTGGGCTGTGGTGGCCCCATCCCTGTGGGTCCCCCAAGATGGGCATCTCAGATCCTTTTCAGCCACTGAAATTGGGCTGTTCCCTCTTGAGCCTGGTGTGCCCTTCCTGTGGCCTTGGGAGGGGAATGACCGTGGCGGCCAGCCTGGCACCACCGACTCCCTCCTGCCTCTCACACTGTCTCCCCTTGTCCTCAGCCCAGGCAGCCTTCAGAAAGACGCTGGAGAAGGAAGCAAGGGGTGTGGGTCCAGACATAGCTGTCCCCAAGTTCAAGCAGAGGAAGTGGGAGTCCGATGGGGCCTACATCCAGCGCATGGAACAGGAGGTCCAGCACGTGCTGTTCCTCACCAAGAACCAGCCCGACCAGCAGCCCGAGGCCCAGGTGGCTCCCAGGAAGAAATCGGAGGGGAAGAAAGCGTGAGTGGGGGTTAGGGGGTGTGGGGTCCCACAATGGTCTACAGCAACAGTGTTTTGTTGCCAGAGGCACCCCCACCCCATCCCATGATTCAGGGAAAGCACGGAAAGAAGTTAAAAACCCCTGTCACCTCGGGGTTCAGGGAGGCTCTGACCCATGGACTTCAAGGGCCTGGCTTTGTCTTTGTGTTTCTCTGGGAAATCAAGGGGTTCTAAGAGCCAGAGCAGGTCAGGGCTGGCTGTCCAGCCAGGCTGGTTGCTATAGGGAGGTGGAGAAAAGATGAAGCTGTCCCCTCCCAGGAGGGATTGCTGACCACCAGGGAGCATATACACCCATGGGAATCAAGACTGTGGGTGGGGTCTGGGTGAGGCTGACACGCAGCCCTCTGGTTGGCAGACGCCACCATCTCTCCCTGGACCTGGACTGGGTCCTGTTCCCATGTCACCTTTCCTGTCCAGAGGAGATTTGAGAACACTTAGCAGTGATCCCTATTAGCCTCAGTTCCTCATCGGTAAAGAGGAGATGCATCCCTCAAGGGCACGTGACCTTCATCACCACCGGAGTCCAATGAAATGAGAGTTGGGAATTGGAATGGCATTGTGCTTTCTTGCCCAGGTTCCAGAAGCGGCGGCTGGATAAAGTCCGGAAAAAGAGAGAGGACAAGGCAGCGGAGAGGCTGGAGCAGGAGCTACTCCGAGGTGGCTCATCCTGAGGGGACTGTGTCAGCCCTGGGTGGGGAGTGGGGGCTGCTGGGCACCTGTGTCCCCCCAGGTGGGTAGATGGACACATAGCAGCTCAGGTGCTGGGTCTCCAGTGGTTGTGTGGGCAGAGGGCCTCAGGCATGCCCCTCTGTCCCTCCAGACACGGTGAAGTTTGGCGAGGTTGCCCTGCAGCCCCCGGAACTGACCGCCAAGCCCAGGAAGAGCGTGAGCATGGGCCAGGTGAGCAGTGGTGGGGTACTTCCCTGTTTGTCACTGGTCAGTGTGGTTCTCACTGGGCTAAACCCTTGGACCAGGCTCTTTGTCATCTTCCCTCTTCCTGAACCTGTGCCCCACCTTCTGCCTCTGGTCCTCAGCCTGGCAAGAAATCACTGATGCTGGCGATGCTCTTGAGCCCTGGTGGTGTCCCCCAGCCTCCACCCACCTCGATGGCCCGACAGCGGATCATGGAAGAGGAGAGAGAGCGAGCTGTCCAGGCCTACAGGGCCATAAAGAAGCTGCAGCAGCAGGGGGCTCAGTCAGCCCGCCTCCCTCCTGGGAAGAAGCCAGAGATGTGTCTATAATGGCCAGAGACTAGGGCTGCCACACTGGGTTGGGGAGAGCAGGTGGGGGTGGGGGGCACAGATCAAAGTCCTTCCCCTGGACACACCTCAGGACAGAGCCTGGTGCACCAGCTCACAAGTTTGGGAAAGGGCTCCAGTCTTTGCTCTCATCTTTTCCTCCCTCATGACTCTTCTTTCATGAGTGACTGCTCTCCAGGTCCATGCCCCACATGGGACATCATCTGTTCCAAGCTCTCATAGATGGGGCCAGTGCCTGGTTTAGAGACAGCTGGCCACACCCAGCACCATTCTGTGAATCTAGCAGTGCCCTCAGCTCTGTTCCGAACAGACAGGTCCAGGCTGAGACAACCTAGGGCCAATCCTATAATCCTGTATAATTGTAGATACTGCCAGCTTAGGTCGACCAAATCCATCACAGGCTCCCCTGGACTCAACAGAGCAGCACAGCTGGAGACGGGAGGCAGGCAGCGGGCCAGTGTGGGGAGGAAAGGCCTGGGGCGAGGGGTGGTCAGCACCTACACCACCTGTTCAAGGTGCCAGTTTAGTCACCGCAGAGGCAGGTGGAGCCCACCCAAGCTTTGGTTCTGATATGGAAACTGATGACGGCACCCACCCTAAGGGCATGAGGATCAGGAGGCATTTTTCACAGGGAAGCCACCTGTGAAGGAGGGCCACCTTAATAACTGTCAGTCCCCTAGTGGCAGATTAGGTCTGCAGGGGCACCTCACTGTGGACTCAAGTGATTTTAACATAGTGCATTACAATAAATTTCAGAGCGTTTGGGGAGGTTCATTTTTAGCTTAAGTTGCCTCATATTTGGCCAGTGAAGATCTTGTATGTTGCCCAGCTGGCGTGGCTCAGATGACTGGAGCATTGCCTGTGTACCCAGGGTTGAGGGTCCATCGCCAGTCAGGGCGCATACTCATGTTGTAGGTTCAACTCCCCAGGTGGGGTGGGAGGCAACCAATCAATTTCTCCCTCTCTAAAATCAATTTTAAAAGTCCTAAAGGGTTTATTATCCCTCTCCAAAAAAAAGAAAAAAGACCTTGTGTCTTTGATGCTGATCTCTGAGTGTCGGGCTCCTAGCTTTCAGACACAAGGTGCTCTTTCCCTGCCTGAGATAGAGTGGTTTCTGTGAGACCACTGCTCCTGGTGGTGGGGTGTGGTACTTAGAAACCAAGATCTGGGTTACAGAAATGCTCATTGATGCTGAAATGTCATTGCTTCTAGCCCATTTTTGCAGACAGGCCTTGGAAATGTAATTTAAATATATGTATATAACACTTTAAAATTCTGACTCTATGTTGATGTTTCTATTAAACTTTAATATTACAGTTTTTCTTTGCATCTTTTGCACTGAAAGTGTTTCACAAATATACTTTATTCTACAATGAACATAAAGTAGCTCTAACAGGAAGAGTATTAACACAACGTACAGAATGAAGTTTAACATTTTTTCCGTTTTTGCTCTTATCCAACTAAAGACAGGCCGTTCAAATGTCACCTTAAAAGGTTCTTTTCTCTCTGGTTGTGGTACTGATTTGATTTACAGTTAAGATCTTTTGTTTTCAGGTTTTAAGTTGCTATTTTTGCTTTTAGTCCATTTTTTGATTATGTAAAACATGGTTTACATAATTCAGAAACTTACAGTAAAACGGGGGGAACTTCCTGCCTATTGTTGCCCTGTAGGTATGTCCTAGAGTTCACACCTAGTACTTTCCTGGGATCTTACACCCTTAGCTGAAGAATTGATGAGAGACATTCTTCTAACACTTCATGCTTTTAACCGGGCTTTGCTCAAGTCCTGAAATTGGGGGATGTCTGAAAGCCCTTTCTTTGGGTCCCAAGTTGTCTGACATCTATACGGACCTCACCAAAGAAGTGGAGACGCTTGGTGGCGTCTCAGAAGGTGGCACCCAGCAGTGACAGGCAGGCCATGCAGAGCAAAGAGCCAGAAGCACTGCAAGGCCTAAGGCTTCAGACCACACTCGGGCACAGGGTTCCTTACCTAATTACACCATGTTGAACAGTGGCCCCAAAAAGGTAAGTCCAAGTTGTAACTCCCAGAACATGCCAGTATGAAATCTGGAGAAAGGGTCTTTGCAGATGTAATTACAGATCTTAAGATCATGTTGGATTTAGGGTGGGCTCTAAGTCCAGAGACAGGTGTTCTTACAAGAGAAGACCATGTTAGGCAGAGATTTCAAGTTTGGCCGGCCACGAGCCAAGGACACTAAGAATTACCCGCAGCCACTAGAAGCCAGACGACAGGCAAGAAATGGATTCTCCCTCAGAGCCTCCAGAAGGAGGACCCAGCCTTGCAGACACCTTGATTTCAGACTTCTGACCTCCAGAACGGTGACCATAAACTTAGGCTGTCTTATGCTAGTTTATGGTAATTTGTTACGGGTCTCCCAGGACACATCCACCAATCAACAGGTGTTCTGCCAGCTCGAGGGACACAGTGGGACACTGGGGAGCCATGGCCCTGAGGACCTGGCAAGAGCTCACTGGCACCCGTGCTCAATCAGAGCCTCTCCTTGCCCTCCCCACCTGTGGGAACCCTGCCCTGGGTGCTCAGGAACAGAGGACCGGTTGGCCGGTCCTGCTGTCCCAGCCCTGGGAAGTCTTTTCATTCTAACGTCTGCTGTCAGAAGTTTCTGTAACCTCGGTACCTCAGTTTACCTATCATTGAAACTCAGCACAGAAGCCAGCCTTGTAGGTTCACCGGTCTTCCTCAGAACCTCCCGAGGTGAAGCAGGGCCATCCTCTGCCTGCGCCCCACAGACCCCTCCAGCCATGTTCTCCACCCAACAGTCACCTGCCAGTTCTGTGGGTGTCCTGGAGCCAGTGCAGCACTCCTGTCAAGCCAGTGCCAGTCCGGGCACTGATTTCTGCCACGGTGATGTTCTGCTTGGCACATGCAATGATGTCTGGGAGCCTGATTAACGACTTCATCTCCTCTATGGTCATATAACAGGGCAGGTCACTGGAGCAAAATTGGCGCCTTGTCAAAGTGGGCTCCACAAGCCTGCCCCAACCCCCACCGCACCCCTCCTTAGGAAGCCACCCTCCTGGCTACATTCTAAGGGAGCTCCTCTCCGGACACCCTCTGCGCTCCCTCTCGGCTCGAGGACCCGTACGTTTTATTGAAGAGTATCAGGACCGATGCTTCTGCAAGTGGTTCTGTAGAAAGGAGGCCCAGGAGCTGCACGCAGGACGCAGAGAGCTGGGTGGGGTTGGAGGCATCTATCATAAACTGGGAAGAAGGGGAAAACTTCAGGGCCACCCTGATGGCGACAGCCCCTGCCAAACCTCCACTGGGCACCACAGACCTGGCTAGAGAAGAGCAAAATGACTGAAACAAAGGGCTCTGAGGACAGGTGGAAGCAGAAGGAAGGTGTATGAGAGTGACCAGGCGCCACTTGTTTCCACGTACACAGAAGTCTCTCTTCTCATGTGGCCATCAGTTCTCCCAGGATGGGTCCCAGAATTTGGGGCATAGGATTTGCCAGGATGGGATGAGGGATGTAGAATTTAAGCATAAACAAAAACACACCCACGGCAACAGGGTGGGCATCAGGCAGTTAGTTACCTGCAGAGCACGAGCACTGCCCTCAGCAAGCCTTTCTCCAGCTCTGACAAGAGCTCACCAGCGAGAGCACAGGGATAAGGCCAAGTTCCAAGAGGGAAACAGTAGCGCAGGCCCCGTTCCCTTGACCAGCAACAGCTGCACAGGAGCCCAAACCCCATCCTATACAAAGTGAGGTCAGGGGCTAGACAAGGCCAACACGGGGACATGCTTCCCTAAGAGTTCAAAAAATACGACCCACCAGGAGTGCACGGCAGTTTCCATAGTAACTGGACCAGATGGGGCCCATGCACCCCCCCAGCTCCCGGATGGTGATCTTTCTGTGGGCCATGATGTCAGTGAGGTTGGTGCCCACCTGTGGGGGGAAAAACAGGATGCACAGACCACCACAAGCTCTTTCCCACTGGGCTCCTCAACAGCAACGTGCCCGGCCCTTTACACTGTGACCTAAACCCCAAAAGGCCCTTCCTCCAGGTCTGAGGCCCTAAAGCAGAACCCATAAGGAAGGGGGGCTTCCAGGAGCGGGGGCCCTACCCCTCCCGCTGGCTGTGGCCAACGCCCACCAGGGGGATTCGCTCCGTGGGGCGACCAGCTCCTTCCCGCTGTCACGCCCCACTCGCTTGCCCTGGGCGGTGTTTAATCCATCCACCCGCTGGGCTCCAGTTTCCCTTAAGAGCCCAGAGCGCCCTGCCAAACGCGAGGGGCACCGCGGCTGCGGAGCGTGCGCGGGCGGCGCCTACCGTGGGCCGCGTCGCGGGGGGGGCGCCCAGGTC